AGAGTACCTTATCTGATGGAATTCCCATAAAATCTATAATTCGAGCGGGGGAGGGAATACGCACATAGTCAACTAGCATGTGTCGATGACAATACGGAAATTCTGAGGAAATTTTGACGCAACGCTTATTGGTTTCTGTGAACCCGAAGTCGTATGTAAACTCTTTGCTTCAGTTGAGGAAAACGAGCATATAATCCTCCAACACTGGACACCAGCAAGAAAGAAAACGACGGCTCGCAATGTGAATAATATCTCACCTGTTACGATGGATACTACCTTTAGGCTCAGCTCCTGTAGTAATAATATTTAACAACCCTAGTAGCTGCTGTGGATGACCAGCCCGATGAGGGGGTATCTTCCCTGCCTCCAACGGCGAACCGCCGTTATGCTGCTGCAACCAAATACAACGACAAGGGTAGGGGCAATGCTCGGCTGATGATGATTTTATGAAGTCGTAGCTTCCGACATAGATAGTATCATCTAAGAAAGAGGTCATAGATGTACTAAATATCACAGCTCTTTATACTGCTGAGTACACAGTCGCTGATACTACCACTATCTGGCAACGGTATTTACTAGCATTTTACGTAAAACATAATGAAGGGAATAACTCAAGTGAACTATCGGTGGAATTAAGCATTCAATTGTTTAAGCTTGTGTGAATACAACCCAAATGTTGACATTGCGATAGCCGAGAATTAGATATTAGATGTGTATTTGTTTCGAAAGTATCTATGTCACTGCCACAATATGCGCGTCACATACGTGGTGGATACACGGTGCGGCAGCGTTTACGACGAATGAGTAACCATAATGATTCATGACACTATACAGACTAAGTTGAAGGATGTATGGTACCGCGAATGGATCACCTTGTGGTTTCTCAACAAAGCTGTAACCAGCCTCAACGATGGCCGTTGTGTATGTCTGTGGTAGAGATATGGATGGATCCAAGAGAACGGAGGGCATCAGGACAAAGCTTACAACTGCAGTAGCAGCAACACCCCTTACGACCAGGAAGGATCTGTGCCAGAGGTAACAAAACAAAGATATGGAGGAAAGAGGGGTCATGACCAACGGCGAAGAGGTAACGTAGAGAATTGTTGAAGCTTGTGGAGTGTAGAGTGGCGCAAAAACTGGACCGTGGCGCGCTCGCCCGCGAAGCTGTGATCCTGCTGTGTATGACGTGTGATGTTCTTGCTGCTGGTCCTAACTGTTAGTGTGAGGCTTATTGACACCTTGCTTCATGTGTAGTCTACCATTTCTGGCGCATGGAGTTCTGCTTTGCCCGCTTAGCTCGAGGTCCTAAGGTCGTTAACGTCACTGATTGCCCATTCTCAACTCCTTTCTTCCCGCCGACGCTAGCCCAGCGTTAAGTAACCATCTGATGTTCACTCGCATGTTCAGTTTCGAGAGCGATTTACTGACTTCTACGAACTTTCCTGGTCACATAGCGCAGAAAATTATTCGTAAAGAAAGAGCATTTGTCCGAATGGGCGTTTTCGGAGCGTTTTTCTATGTCTCTCTTTGGTGCACTCTTGAATTTTCCATGAGCGACAATCTCAGGAATGTTTTTGGAAAACGCTCTGCATGAGCTCTGGGTATTCGATGCAAGTTTTCCTACTTTTTCGTACGTTTCGAGCCGTGCTCAATAAATTGATGTATAGTGTAGCTGAGGAAGTAGTTTATTGGGAATAAACTGGGTAGGATGTAATAACATAGAATCACTCGTGGACGTTGGGATGGACGATGCCAACGTTAGTAGAGGTTTACAGTACGTGTCAATTTGATATGCAAATGCGTGCTACTTTGGAGGGCGAATTATAGTGAACAAGTTGTCGCTATCACAGTCCCAAACGGGTACTCTCATCACAACACATGTTCATAGCCATTGTTACATTGTATATGCGATAGAGTTTCACATTGATTCTCATCAACCTCAAAAAATAAAACATATTTGCATATCAAATTGGCACGCACTGTATACATCCCACCTGAGTGACTTGGACTCTCTGTGTCACTCTGGGAGCATTCGCGATATTATAAGGGCTTTAGGGGTAGCTCTCCCGTTGTGGTAGGTTCGAATCATTGCAGTGGAGAAGATAATCATGGCCACTGGGAGCTGCCACATGAGGCGTATTCAGTGGGTGATGAGAATCCTGCGTGAAAATACGAGGATAATGGCAATCACAGTCAACATGGTTTCGGATGGGATCGTAGCCTCCTGTGAGTTCCATGATGCTGTTGTTGTGTTCATTTTCGCGTATATCGGGCCACAGTCGTGACCAGAGTGTCCCTATGCAATTATCCGGTAGTACCGTCAATCGTCAACTGCAGCAGCAGCAGCATTCAGGAGGAAGCCGTTCTTCTTCGCACTCTTCCGCGGCTGGGTAATATTCACAGTCGGCATCCGCATGTTTGACAATTATTTCATCAGTTTCACCTTGAGCCCTCATGCAGCAGCATTCATCCCATCTTCATGGCAAGGTGCCGGTTCATCATCATCCTTGTCAAGTGGGGGCCCCTCGACGGTGTCCAATGTCCAGACTGCTAGCCATTACAGTAGGCCAGATTGGAGGAGTTATAGACAAGCAGCGAGTAACACAACGTAGGTGCTTTCCGAGGCCAACTTGTCGTTCATGCTCAGGTCTCAATGGGGCTAGCGATCATCAGTCTTTGCCCAACGTTGCTGTCTGTTCAAATTCCTCACTCAAAAGTAGGGAGGCTAATTATTCTTATGGGAGGAACGGAGGATTTTAGGTGGTGGCAATTGCAGTGCTAGAGTTCATAAGGATACGACCCCTCAAGCGAGGTGCTCCTGCAAATTGTTGGTGACGCATAAACAGGCTGGAGCTATCATAGGGAAAAGTGGATCAGAAATTTCCCATATGGAACAGGTCATCAAATAGCGTTGATTGAAGCCTCTTACCAGCGCTGGTTCGTATGCAGGCAGCTAAGGTCTCCATTAAAGTGTCTCCTAGCGGTAGTTTCTTCCCGGGCACACAGGAAAGGGTATTAGTGATCTTTGGAGAGAGCATGAATATTAGAGAGGTAGAAATGATGGGTGTGGGATTAGAACCGGAGGTCTCTCGTAGGCGCTACAGGATATAGTAGCTAAATTCGAGTACTGCAATGAGATACTACAAGTGCAGGAGGAAACCAAATCGCCTTATTTCCGCGACTGGGACGTAAGTGACATGTACGGTGTTGTTCATGCTGCTAGCAGCAGACTGCTAGCAGCAGACTGGTTTTTGCTGCAGACAGCATTTTCTGTCTACTAGACAAAAAATGCTGCCAGCAGTAGAGATACATTTTTCCCATCCTTTACAGTAGTCTATCGCAGTATCGGCAACAGTCATAACCAATGCAGCTGACTTGTCTTACATTCATAGGAAAGTGGTACCGACGGTGGCGCTGCTTGTCGAGCCCGGCCGCTTGTTATGCGGCTAGTGGTGCCCAACTCTGCTGTTGGAGTTCTTATGGGTCAACAAGGCAGTGAGATCAAGTATGGGTGCAGGGGATCCCGGGTTCGATCCGAGGCATCGCCTCTTTTCCTTT